CTCCAATCTCTAGCTTGAATCTGTTTATACTTCATGTAAGTCTGTTGTCCTTTCACCTTCGATAAAGCTGCTCAGGTACACAGCAGAGGAGAAGAACCTTGAAATTTCCTCAGATTTAAGGCACTCAACAATACACTTCTCCATTTTCCTGCTACTTCACCATACCCAACAACAGCAGTTAAGATTGTGCAAAATACTAGGAAAAGCTCCAAAGGACAATTAGCCTTGGTAGCTCTCTCTCAGTAGGACAACGGGCACTTTTCTTTCTGCGAATTGGAGCATGCCAGAGCCAGATCATGTGGGCGGTGGTGCAGAAACTGGACAAAGAGAATCATCAGTGTTTCTGTGCTGAAAATTTCTGCAGAAGAAAAAGACTGACTGCAAGACATCATCATGAGCTAAGACAGTCAAAAAGGGAGTTGAGGTATTTATTTATGCCAAAAGCTAGAAAGGTATTCTGTCTGGCAGCTCTGAACTTCATGTTTTATAATTAGAGTCCCCTCATTTGATAACATATTCCAGCTGTTTAGACTTTAAGGAAAAATACCAGAAGACTTGCAACTAAGTAATGAAAGACCAGGAGCTCAGTGGCAGTCCAGACTTCAGTTATGAAGGGTTGGGGTTTTTTTGTCAAATGAAAAAGAAAGCTTTAAAAGTATCTTTCAACTAACCATTACGTCGTATTCTATTATGCACTCCATAATTACATTTTATAGGTTCAAGAAGAAAACACTTGCAAAAACTCAATCCAGAATGAAAGTAGTCCAAATATATCAAAATAGTATGACTGAAATTTTTCTCTCAATAACTCCTTTTGAGACTATGAACTGCAGCATAAATGAGGAAAGTACATTTATTCCTATAGAAGATTCTTGGTTGTTTTTTTATTTTTCAGGATGGATTTAATTACTAAGGACAGTAACCAAGGCTGATATCTTAATCATTCTTGTGAGAGTTATTTTATGTTAGAATTTTCATTTGGGGCACTCAAAAGAACCATGAATTTAGATACATCTAAAAATTTTACCAACAAAACTGATTATTTCAATGGACTTTGCCAGGTCATAGCATCTTAAATTAGCTTTTTTAGACGAACTTGTCAGGTCATTGAAAAAGATTTTGTTACCTTTTTTTTTTGGCAAAAAAGGTACACTAGAGTGTATTTGCCAATGTATTTGTGACATTTCATGCCAGAGAATTGTACTCTTCACTAAGGCAGCTGTGAGCTTTAAAGAGTAGACTAGGCTTCTGCCTGAGAAGTTAAAAAAAAACAAAACAGCAACGGTGAAAAAAAAAACAAAACCACAATTGCCTTGCCCCAAGTGAACAAGAAGGTCTGCTGCTAGTCAGCTCCAGCAGCAGCAGCCTTTGAGAGAGATAGGTGATGAAAAAACAAGACCAGAGGTGAGAAAATATGTCAGAAGTGGAATTAATAATTATGTGTTTTGAAGCAAAATGGATGAACTGTTACAAGCACCTAGAGAAATTTCTTGAAGGGCAAGACACAAGTTCATCTTTACTGCTCATCAGAGATTGCTTGATTAGGGGAGTTGGACATGGTGACCTCCAGAGGTCTCTTCCAGGCTCAGCCATCCTGTGATTCTGTGACCTATCAAAAGGGCTAAGTGACAGATGATCCAGCTTGTGTCCCAGGCTCCCTTGACTGTGGAATAGCCTCTTCCAAGATGGTAGCAGGCTGAATTCCCTGCTGAATCCCCTCTGGCAGCATCCCAGCAGGCAGGGTGGAAGAAGCCAGGCTCCAAGTTGATTCTGGCAGGCCTTAACTGGGAGTGTGAGATGGACCAGAGCAGAGCCAAGGACCTGTCCTGCCTCAAGCATTGGCATTTCAAGCGAGAACAGGGCAATCACATACTATGATTTCCTCTCAGTGCTCCTCCAGCCTTTGACAATTTTAATCCTCGGGGTCTTCCTGGGCCCGTGATGGTATGCCTGTTTAGTAACCTACCACGGATTTCTTTTCCATGTTCTTTTCCAATTTCTCTGGACCAGTGTACTATGTGCATCCACAGCATTCTTGGCAAAGTGTTTTCTAATTATACTATGTGTTGAAAGAAGAGATGCGAACTTTATCTGGTTTTAAGCTTAGATCTCATTAGTTTCATATGTTGCTCACCAGTTATTGGGCAAAGGCAGTGTAAGTCATCCAAATCAACTTTTGGACTTCATTGAGGATTTTGTAGGTCTCTTTCCTACCTACCTTGTATTGTCTCTTTTCTAAGATGAGCTGTCCTAAACTATTTAACTTCTAAGATTTAAAATTAATTTCTTAGAGCATGCCATATGCTCTTACCTTCATCTTTTTTAGTCCTTTTTGATCCTATCTGTGACAGAGGCCAGAAGTGCAAAGAGTAATCTAGATATGGGTGAACCATGGATTTCTATGATGCTGAGCTGATAAATAGAATATGGATTATGATTCACAGTAGTCACAGAAAAGAACATCATTTTATAAACAAAGCTGTGACTAGATTACCCTGTGGGCATTACTTCACACTTACCAACAATGAATTTCACACGAAAACATTTGTGCTATCCTTCCCATTTTTGGGTCACATATACCCTAACCATCACTTCAGAGAAATAACACCCTCATGGGTATCAATGTAGATCTCATGTTGTTCTAAACAATTTAAAGTGGAAAAAATGATAAAAAGTGATGAGTTGGATAATCTCTGTCCCTCTCATGTATCAGCATATATGTAGCCAAACAGACAATGATGCTAAAATGGAACATAGTCAGTCTAGGGAACATTTATGACAGCACATCACGAGCTGTTTGAGCGAGGTGATTGTCCTGCTTTTCTCTGTGCTGGTGTGGCCTTACCTTGTGTCCTGGGTGCCACAGTATAAGACAGACACGAAGTTTTTAGACAACATCCAAAGGAGTGTTACAGATAGTGAAGTGTGTAGAGGGGAAGCTTTATGAGGAGCAGCTGAGGGAACTTGGTCTGTTCAGCCTGGAGAAGAGGAGACTGAGGGGAGACCTCATTGCAGTTACAACTTTCTTATGAGGAGAAGAGGAGGGGTTGATCTCTTCTCTCAGGTGACCAGGAATAGGACCCAAGGGATTGGCCTGAAGTTGTGTCAGAGGATGTTTAGGTTGGATATTAGGAGAATATTCTCTATCCTGAGGTGATTGGGCAATGGAACAGGCTCCCCAGGGAAATGGTCACAACACCAGCCTGACAGAGTTCAAGGAATATTTGGACAACACTTTCAGACACATGGTGTGACTCTTGGGGATGGTGCTGTGCAGGGCCAGGAGTTGGACTCAGTGATCCTTGTGGGTCCCTTCCAACTTGATGTATTCTATGATTCCATGACTACTGACCCTGCCTGTCCATTCCCAGTTTCCTCCAATCCTCTGCTCCAGGCTGAGAGTAGACAGGCTCTGACTGCTAGGCTCTTTTAGAAATTAAAAAATATTTGTATTGGTGCACCTGTTGGGCAAGGAGAAAGATTCAAGTTAGCCAACATCACATTAAAGTATTGATACTTTTAAAATTTGTGTGAAGGGTCTATGGCAATGCCAACTTCTAATATATCTATGTATCTATCTTGGAAAAAAATATGAAAAAAACCTGAAAAAATCCACAATAACAAAGAGAAACAGATTAATTTTATTTCATAACTTGGTTTCCCTGTCCTCTTCTATGTTTGGAAGTTTTTCACGCATGGCAGGTAAAAATATGTGAATGAATCTTAAATCATGTGCTTTTAATTTTTTTTATTATTATCATTATATGTACAAAAAAGTTCAACCACATTTACAGGTTAAATTTTTATACAGTAATTAAAAAACCAAAACGAAACACAAACTCCCCTCCCAATCTCGGAAACAAGCAGAAGCCTTTACATTATTTTGTTTTCACTAAAATTACATTAACTACATAGTAATGCTTACCAGTAAGCAAGTTGCCCAGGGCCCACATTCACCAAAATGAACATAATTTGGACATGAACTTCTCAATAACCTCACAAATTGCAATGTACAAATATCTACATATTTACATGCATATATTTCTATGCATATATATATATATATATAAATACATATATATATATATATATATATATATATAGGGATGTCAATTTACACTTACTGATCAAGGAGCATAGATTTATTCTTATGATGCTCCAGAAAGATATATTTCCAGGATCAAAGAACAGTATTATGGACCTCTTTTAATAATAATTTATTCTTTTCCTCTCTAATAACACTCTCCAAGACTTCACAGTATATGCTGTCAGACTCAAAGGATTGCTGTTGATGGTTTCATTTTTATATTATTTTCTCAAGGAAAAATCTCACTGAATCAGGAATCTGAGCTACTAGAGACTAGTTAGCGAAATGGCATGAAGTGTACTCAAATGAGGCATCCTTCCTGTTCCTTTTTAAACATTTTCAGATGAGAGATGAAGGGTTATGAAGAGCTGCATGAGGCTAGAGAGAACATTTTCAGGCAGTTGTGAAGATATTTTCTCAGTTGAAAAAGGAGCAATTCACTATTTTTCAAAATATAGCAGTTGATGCCCAAACTGCAAGGTTTCTGCTCTTTTGGCTCTATTTTATGTCAGTTATAGTTCAGGCACTTTGAAGCATATTTTAGGAAGGACTGTGCACTTGAGAACCATGTTCAAGATAAAACAAAGTCTGCATTAGATGTAGGAGAAGTAAAGGTTTTCAATGTAAAAATATTTCCATGTTAAAAAAAAAAGAGAGAGATTTCAATATAAACTTCAAAAAAATTTCTGTCACAACAAAATGCAGAAAACAATTGAACAATTGTGATAGTGAGAAAGCTGGAATAATGTGAAAGTGAATAGTGAAGTGAAGCTTCCAGGCAAATTGATGGGAAGGTTTACATGAGTTACGTATCACTAAGGTTGGCCTTGTACACAGAAAAAGTGCAGATCAATTAAAACTAACACTGTGAAATGCCACAAAGCTTTGAATGTTCACATTGGCTTGTAGACGGTAGTGCTAAGTCCACTTACATTTATTCTGCTCCAAAACTGACAATACTTTAGCAGAAGATAAGACATTCGAATATCTCACTGTGCGTGTTGCAGTTTTCCACCCTTCTCTGTGAAGGAATTCACGGTGATTAGTGGTGGAAAATTGTTTTTTAATCATGAGATACCCAAAGAAAAATGACAAATTTTAAGGGCCTTGGGTGTTGCCTGTTACTTAGGCACAGGAGTTCAGGAATCAGTGCAGCATGAGGTGTCTGAACCAACTATCCACAATGCTGCAGACAGCTTCCTCCTCAGTGTTGGATGGATGCAAAAGGTGTAGCTTTGTCTTGCTTGTGAGAGGAACTCTTCTGATCTTCTCAGGTGGCTTATGGCTCTCCTCTGTCAATGAGGGTCAAATATAGGTAAAAAGCTGTAAATACTACAGGAAAAGCTTATCTTTTGTCTGTCCCCAGTGCACGTTCTGTAGCAGTTGTCTTTCCAAGCACACAGGCAATTGTTGAGATGTGAGAAGAATTAAACATGGCACAGAGTATGCAAACAAGCTGTAGAAAGATATTTCAGAGGAGGGCTCCCAACATAGGACTGCTCAACCCACCTGTCATAACTTATTTTAAGGATGTTTGGTACAACTCCCATTCTCAAGCCTTGTTTTCCTCTTTCTTTTCTTCTTTCTTCTTGCCTGCCTGAAAGAAGTCTATTTCTGATATCTGGCCATCAGGAAAAGTTTTCAGCTGGTTTCTGCTGGCGCAGAATGACTCTCCAGTCTGTGGCTGAATTTTCAATTATCCAGCTGAAAATAATCTGGTTTATAATCTACACCATCTCTGTAAGGAAGAAAAACTCACTCCCCAGGCACTATGTAAAGCTAAATTCTGCTGAGAGGGATGGTTCTTCTATGTATAGCCTACAGTGAAATGGTGAAAATGACCAGTTGATACTAACCACATACAAGCAGCTTTGGTACTGTAATAGGTTAATGTGGGAAAGTCTGTTTCCTTAAATAACCTGCTCCCCACAGTCCTGAGAAATTAATAACCAAGAAATGCAGCAGTATTTGTAAACAATTTGTTAGCTTTCCTTTCATTTTATGAGATGTTTTGCTGTATAAGATTGAAATAAATTATGAGTCAACCTAACCTTTTCAAGTGTCAGTGTGGTTTGACTCTGACAAGCAGTTGAGTGAGTGTTGTGGTGATTTCACAGTGGCTGTGCATTATGCATTAATGGTAAAATGCCATGCTACTTTTATTCTTTCTTTTATAAAAATACAACAAAAGAGAAATAATGTGATTTTAAAAAAAACAAAAACAAAACAAACCTTCGCACATTGCTTAGAAAAACAACTCCCTTACTCCCAAATCAGCTTTGGTGTATGCTGTAATTCATGTACAGTAATATTTCACATTCACTGAAAATCACAAGTCTTTGGTTAACTACCATACAACCTGAGAGTAACTGTTCTAAACTTATCCCTTGGTCTTAAGCATCAAGGCTGCTATTTCCAGGCTAACCGTGTTTGATTTGCTTCAGTGCCTTCTTGAATAAATTCAGTTCCTTTATTACTTCCATTTCTGACCAGAAAATGCTGAAATGCAATTTTCGTACAGCTTGAGTTCTGTCACTGGAGCAAGGTATTTTGAGCATGGCCATTCAAAAGGAAATGTTTTCTGTGTCTACTCATAAATTTCACACGTATCTTTCTTCTGGGAATATCTAAAGCTAAAAAACACTTTCCTGCCTTTGCAAATTGACATTTACTCCCTCTAACCCATCCATAGGTCCACTTGACATTGATCTGGCTGACATGGTCCTGCCAGAGAATAAACTTTCCCTTCTGTTTTCCAAGCTGTCGCTGAGCAGTACCCTAGGGCGAAACACTTGCATGAATTTCTGGTAAAATTCCTTTGATGCAAAATAATAAATGAAGGGATCTATACAGTTGTTGAAGCAACTGAGGCACAAGGTGAGCTTGTAGGCAGGGTACAAACTGCTGCTGTAAAATAGGCGGCTAATCATATGTGCAAGTAGGATAAAGTTATTGGGGGCGAAGCAAGTGATGAAGGACAGAAGGACAACTACTGCCAGGTATATGGATCTAGTCTTTTGCCTATTACCATATCTGCTTGATGTCTGAATTAGCTTCCTAATGATACCAATGTAGCATCCAACTGTTATAACAAAAGGGATCAGGAACAGCAAAACAAATAAAGTGAGGAGAAAGGCTACCCAAGCTGCGAAATTGGGTAGCATATCCCATTTTAGGACATCAAAACAGGTTATAATCCCTAATTCTTTCACTTCATAGGTCAAGTCTGTAGTTTCTAGTGGGTAGAAGGCTAGTAGCAAGAAAATCCACATAGCTAGGCAGGCAGCCAAGGCATATCTTTTTCTTCTCCACCTGATCAATTTCAAGGGGTGTACCACACCCATGTATCGCTCCATGCTGATCAAGGTCATGGTCAGTATGGAAGAATACATGTTGGAGTAGAACATCACTGTCACAAGGCTGCAAAGAGTCTTGCCAAATCTCCAGTGATTGCTGTGGATGTGATAAGAAATCTGGAAGGGGAAACAGCTGGCCAGCATAAGGTCCGTAATGCTTAAGTTGATCATGAAGATAACAGAAGGTGTTTTGGGTTTGATGTGCCAAAAGAGCACCCAAAGGGAGAACAAGTTGCCAGGGATGCTGACCAGAGCCACCACTGTATACACAACTGGGAGGGTGATGGAGACTGTTTTATTCTGCAGCATTGACAGCGTCAAAGCGTCCAGGTGGGATTCGTTTTTAACCATTATTCACGAATGGGTTGTTGATCTCTGTAAGCCAGCTGGATCATATCATGAACACTTGGCTTGAAAACCTAGATGAGAAATGTCAAGTGAGAAAAACAGTATGTCAAAACAGAAATTAGGGACATAAATCCTATAATAATCAACTAAAAATTCTTTAGTTTGACAGATTTTCCTTGAATGCACTGAATCCATTAAAATTGCTTTCTGAAAAGTCTTGCCTCCCTCCAAATCATCATAATGTCTTACCAGTCTGACTTCTCCCTATCTTGGAACAGCTACCTTTTCCCTGCTGAATGGTTTTCTGATACTTAGCATCATAGAATCATTAAGCTTGGAAAAGACCTCCAAGATCATGGAACCTCTGAGCAAACACCACCATGTCAATTAAATCATAGCACTGTTAACCAACACTCCCAGGTTCTTTTCCACTGGGCAGCTTCCCAGCCATTCTGCCCCAAGCCTGTAGTGCTGCATGGGATTCCTGTGACCCATGTGCAGGACTTGGCATTTTGCCTTATTGAACCTCACACCATTGACCTTAGTCCATCAATCCCTCCTGTCCAGATTGCTCTGTAATCTATTCATTATCACACCTCCTGTGTTACTGTAACATAAAAAAAATCACATATCACAAGTCGAAATTCAATTGATGTCTGCATGAGAACATTAGTCCATAAATTCTCCATGAACTAAATCCATTATATCTACTCTAGATGTCATGACCTTGACTTCTGTAGTGCACATTATCTTCTGACCTTCCCCCCTTCCAACTAAACTGTGATCCATTTCAAGTAAGGGCTGGATTTTAATTTTTTTTCACTTTTTTTCAACTTAGGGAAAGGAGAACATGTATTCAATGACTCTTGCTGTATTTATAATATAAACAGAATATAAGGAAGAAACATGAGAACCAGGGACAGATTGCACTTGCTTGGGCTGGTTTACAGGCTGGAGAAGCCCTCTTCTATGAAGAAGAAAAAAACTATTGAGCTTCAGTTTCTGCAAAATGTAAGTTATTTAAAAATGTTATTTAAAAATGTTTGCAGCTGTCTTATTTTCATCATTTGTAATTCTGCAAAATTAGTTTCAGTTTTGCAGTCTGCAAAGCAGATCCATGCTTTCACTGTCTGGTTTACATAGATCTCTCTTGGCAGATGCAATAGCTCATGGTTTATGTATTTTAAGCAGCATAGTAGCATTCAGCAGCTGCAAGAAAGAACCGACACCTTGATGTCTTTTTTTAAGCTTCAAGTCCAGGGAGGCAATTTCACAAAAGTATAGCATTGAAAAATTGAATAAATGGCAACAAATACCCAGAAAGGCAGAGGATAGATCTACAGTAGATTCTGTGAAGAGTTACAATAAAGGCTGAAGAGGTGCCAGGCCAAGTCAGCCAATAACTGTGGGCACATCTCTACTGTTTAATAATAGACAGAGAGTGGGCTCAGGCACACTCCTGTTTGTGGACTCTCATCACCTGCATGGTTTTTTCCAAACATCTTGCAGCAAAACAGCCCTGCTGTAGGAGGTTAGATTAAAAACATAGGTGCCAGTTGGTGTCACTTAACCTCATATCTTGTTAAAAAGAGCTTTAATTTGTGTGGTTATAGGCCATGAGCAGTGTAAGCTGTCAGTCCCTCAAAAAATCCAGCCCATGGTGGTGGGAAACTCTATAGCTGGAAGTAACCATTCTGACAAAAACTGTGCTTTCTGAGGGAGGCTTTTACTGAAAAATTTGCTTTCTGAACCATTGATGCTTACTGAGACCTGGCAAATGTGAAGTCTCTACTGGAGGCTGCAGTGCAATAAAGAGATAATGAACTCAGAAAAACCTGAGTGCAGATCCAGAAAAAGGTACAGCTACAGCAGTAAGCAGGTCTGTGTGGGCTTATTGAGATTCTTTCTTGATCTGATCTATTTGACATAGTTCTGTTCTTCAAATGTCAGCTAAAAATATTAACAAGTCAGAGAGTCAGTACCAAGAAAGTTATATTGATTAATTTTGCTTCCAGATGGGCTGTTGGAATCCTAGATAAAGGAACAAGAAAACAGGAACTGCAAAGAAGTTGGAGATGTACATGTATCATGCACATGACACAGAGCAAGCATGTTTCAAATAGTAAAGTGGTCATCAGATGGGCACAATTGCAAAAAGCCCTTTGAGCCAAATCTGTTGCAAATGAAATTCAGTTCTTGTCAGGGAAGTTATATCAAGAATGAAACTAATTCTTCATTTTTCAGTCTAACTTGAAAAAGCACTCACTGTCACATAACTCATGGGAAAAAAGCATTAATGCTCTCTGTTTCAGCTCATCTGTCTGTGACTTACCATAGCAAATATTTATTCATGAAGTATGTTGCCTCAAAAATCCTGCTCAAGTAGCACCCCTTTGTGCCTAACAAGGCTATACTTTTCAAAACAAACAGAAAATTGTTGTCTATATCAGAGTTACTACAGATCTGTAATACTATACCTTTGCAAGTGAAAGATATTTGCTATCACAGGCTCCTAGATGCTATTCCTATACAAATTACAGGTAGTTGGAAAGGTAGGAGTATAGGTGAAAATTTCCATTAAATCTGTCACACTGGTCATAAAGCTATCTAATATGTCTCACATTTTTGTTTTGTTTGTTTTAATCTCAAACGTATTTTCTTTTGTACTGGCCTTTTCTGAGAGAATGTCTTGATAAAAAGGAGATAAAAAGTGCACACATAGATGCTGCTGAATGCAAAACAGTGTCAGCATTCACAGCCTGACTAAAGGCAAATTTTATGCACTCATGGAATGCTACTGTCAGTAACATGTAAGTGCCTCCAAATGTAGGCACCTCTTGAATTGGAGTTGAAAGACACCAGACTTACTGATTATGTGCCTACAAGAGCTTTCCAAAAAGGGTAGGTCTTCTTGACATTGTTTTCAGTAATGAAGATGTCCATCACAATGAGCAGAAGAATGATAGATGGTTCCTTTAGAGTGCTCTGCAGGGGAGAAGAGGGCATGCAAAGCACTCAGATGCTGCATGTCATTCCTGAGGGCAAAGGACCTCTTGAGGAGATGCGGAGTAGAGAAAATCCTCTTCCCAATTTCTTCTTTCCTTTGTCAGATTCTATCACACTCTAATCCTGAATTCCTTGCCAGGAAAGCCTGAACTAGCAAGAAAATCCTGCTCTGACTCTCCCTTACTTGTAATGATTTGCTTTTTAAATGCCTAGGTGTATGAGGTTGGGCTGGGATAGTGTTAGTTTTCTTCACAGATTATTTTTTGGATTTGTGCTGAACACAGGGTTGACAAAAGAGAGATATTTTTCTTATGGCTGAGCAGGGCTTACAGAGAGCCACCACGCTGCTTTCTGTAGTGCCATGCTGGTGAGGAAGTTGGGGATTCATGAGAATCTGGGAGGAGACACAGACATACAAGTAGCCCAAACTGACCAAAGGGATATTCCACACTATACAACATCATTACCAGTATATAGAGGGAAGAAGGAGGAAGGAGGGACCATTTGGAGTGATGGTGTTTATGTTCCCAAGTAACCCTTTCATGTGATGGGACCCTGCTTTCCTAGAGATGGCTGAACACCTATCAGCCCATGGGAAACAGCAAATTGATTCCTTGCCTTGCTTTGCTTTTCTTGTATGCATTGCTTTCTTTATTAAATTCTTTGTCTCAACCCACAGTTTTTCTTCCTGTTACCCGTTCTAATCTCTCCCCAGTCCTGCCTTAGTGGGGGAGGTGAGTAAGTCATGGTGTGGGGCTTGACTACTGGCTAGGGTGAAACCACAACAGCAGGCTAAGATGCTGGAACCACAATGCACCATTTCAGTGTACTTTATCTCCCATTGCTGTGTCTGTTGGGGTTTAGTTAATGCTGTGTTTACATTTTCATCTTGTTCAGGGTAACTATGGCCTTCCCACTCTGTATCCGCTGTCTCTGCCTGTCTCCTGTGGTTTAATTTGAAAATGCAATACATCAAAAGAGAAAAGAATCTCTCTTTAGAGATTTAGAATTAGACTCCTCTTTCATTTTATGAATTTTTTCCATTCAATTTCCAACAGAATTCAAATCAGCGAAGCTTGCATGGATTTTAAAACATCTGCCCTAAGCTATGGTTTCATATGCATAATTTTTTAAAAATATAGTTCTGTTACATAAATTTTCCTGTTAGAAATACATTTTTTAGGGTTTGGTTTAATTTTGGGAGACCTATATTTAAAATATGACAGGCCAATGAACATACAGATAGACTGAAAAAAACTCAATAAGGATTCTTTAAGTGACATGATCCAGTCATATTGACATTTACATCAGTCCTCAAGATTGTGACATAGAAGGAGAAATGTTAAGCTTTTCTGCTTGCCTGATTTCTGAAACATTTAGTAGAGGGATGTACATTAGTCTCATATTAAGTACTAAGCCTCTGGAGTATACTCAATAAATCCATGTAGGATTTTTTGTTACACTTTGTACTCACTGGCTTGTGGCACTCTGCACAGAAAACCCACTTGGAAATTCAGTGCCATCAGGTTTTCATCCCAGCTGCAACCATAAGCTAAGGTGACAGGCGCTTAATGCTTATCTGACAGGAATATGGATTTCTTTCCCTTCAATTTACAAAGATGATAAAATATTAAAGGGTGTACTGGAAATCAAAGAATAAAAAATCACAAGATATCTGTGTTATTTCTTTGCTGTGGAAGAGTAACAGTAGAGCTGTCTCTGTTTTTAGAGAACTGCTAAATTAAGCTGATGTGATTTCTCTCTCACATCTATTATCTTCCTGTTGTCAGTGTCTAGTGCACCTGTGAAAAAAACTGAAATGCCCATGAGCAAAGTCAAAACGGGAATTGCCAATTTATAAAAAAATTGAGATTTGCTTTGTTGATTTGAGATGGAAAAATAACTTAGAATAGATCATGCACCAGAAAGCCTTTCAAAATCTATTGTGTTCCATGATTTTTGGTTCACTACATGTAAAAACACTACTGTATAGGGGGAAAAAAGTTCTTATTTCATAAATTCTTTGATATTTACACTTTTAGAGAGACACCCTTCTAGCTGAAGA